CCGCCGGCTGCATTGCTGCCGGACAGGCTGGCGGCACCGCACGGCGATGATGTGGCAGCGTGTGAGGCACGTGCGGCTACGGCAGCTGTGGCTGCATTCCACATATTCTCCACCTCGGCGCGCTGCAGCGAGCAGCATGACTGTGCATTCAGCGCCTTTTTCATATTTAAAAATGCTGCGTTGTTGCTGCTGTATCTGCTATTCGTCGGCGCAGTTGTTGGCTTGCCGCAAGCAAAGAAATTACTGCAACTATTGCCACCGATGCTGTTGCCGCTGATGCTGATATTGCAGCTGCCGCTAAGGTTGCCGCTGCTGTCGTTGTGCAGCGTGTCCATGGCCAAGTTGCTGGTCGCTGCCGATGCGGACATTGTTGGGGTAGGCATTTCGTGGACGGCGAGCGTGGAACGATAGCCTGGTGGTGGGGAGTTATGCTGTAAATGCGTTTGCTGCTGCTGTAAGAGTTGGCATCGTTGCTGATAAAGTTGTTGTTGTAATAATTGTTGCTCTTGCATGGCAACCACGGCATCGTACGATGGTGGCGGCTCGTGGTGAAGTGTTGCCAAGGTGGTGAAGCCGTCGGTGGATTCACCCAGAAATATGCCAGAAGTTTCATAGCTCTGCAGTGGAGAGAAAAAAGAAGGTGATTAGATTTTAAATTCGTACAGAAAATATTTGTAAAAAGGAGTGGTAATTAATAGGGAAAGAGCGTAGGACAAATATTTCTTAAAATAATGAATATTTCTGGTTTTTCAATAAAGAAAAAGTTAGGTAGACTCGATTTTTTTTTTATTGCCAGCAAACTCATTTGAAAGAGGATGGAGGATGTAAGTACTCAGCTTTCAGCTGATCATAAAGATGGTCAATGACCACCTAACAACAAAGGGGAGTCTAAGCGACCGATAAAGCTCCTCTTCCCAGTTGGAAAGACACTTGAGACCTTGCTACTCCGGTACTTTACGCACCACCTAACTCCAGCGAAGCACTTAACACCAAAAACACTCCAATAACTCGGGGGGTTTACTTGTAACCGCACCTGTGAGAGAGCCGTTCTAGTAGCGTTGGAGTAGGCTTTCGACATTGCTTGCCACTCCACGCTACTTAGACGACTTTGAGGCCTTCTCTTTTCCACTGGTATTCAAACGATAGACGGCGAAATTTAATTGGCTCGGTCCGCGGAGGTGTATACTTGCTCAGATAATAATGTGAGTGATCCGCAATCGTAGTAACTTTTCGACACAAAAAGTCGGGTCCCACAGAGCGGTGTCCTCTCAGTGTTTCTGAAATAATTTTTACATTTCGAAGCTCCCCGCCAACCACCAGAGGCTGTTTCCCTAATGTCCAAGGCCGATAATTAATTTAAGTACATATATTTGCTTCCGACAATGACATCGATGGCCATCCCTCAAAATCATAGGCCGATCTAGCTCGCTTTTTCACAGCAAGTAGCCCAATCCTCTCCTTCACGAAATCCTCGGCAATCATTTTTTCCACATAGGCGAAAGAGAAAATTCGACACATTTCTTTTAATTTTTATGCGCAATATTGGATAGGCCATTTTGTTTTTAGTTATTTTGATGTCAGATTCGAATTTAGCGACCCATTCTGATCATTATTTTTAACAAAATTATTGTGTGTAAGATTTTAGGCGCCATATTGGATCGGCCATTTTTTTTATTTTTATTTTTACTTCAGATTCGAATTGAGCGACCTCAAAACCCCCTGTAAACCTGAATTCATGTGAAATTAAATTATGGGCACAGAATGGATATCAAATATCACTGTGTGTCTGGGAAAAATGCATTATTTATTTATTGGAAAAAAGTCTCACTCAAACTTAATTATTTATAATCTTTCGCTCGTGTCGTAACTAAAATAACCTCATCGATTTTATTCTCTAAACCTCAAATAACCTATCAGCAGTGTGTTAAACTTTGTATGTGTGTCAAATAAATAACAAACATTGTCACATATGTATGTATGTATGTATGTATGGCCATACACACCAATCAATTCCACTGTCCCATTAACTGACTGATTTAATGTTAGCTAATGTCCGATTTAACCGAAACTTATCACAGCAACTGGTGTTAATGCTTTTAAAGACAACAAAGACAAACAGAGTGGCATAAACCTTAATTATATTTACTTACTAGATACATATATGTATGTATTTGGTATGTAGGCATAGTATGTATGTACTAGATGTACATATTTACATACATAAATTCAGGCGAGCATGCAGTAAAGTGACTAAGAGCAAGACAGGTCGAATTACAATAAATGTGAGCGAGTTGTTGTGAGTTATGTAAAGAACACTACGTCCGCGATTTTAGTACAAGGAAAAGTGGAGCAATAAAAAATAGTTGTTTATGTACTTATACATATGTATGTACATATGCATGTAGTAATGTGCGAAAAAATGCTGCCCTTAAAGTTACGTTACAACAAATTAGAGTTGAAAGTGAGTGCTTACTCACTAAGAACCAAAAGGAATTTAAAAACAACTGCTACATCATTAACTAGTTTCAGTGTTTAATAAAAATCAGTGTTTTGAAGAAATTCGACAATGAAGAAATTTGGTTTTTATAAAGTGCCGTAGCTTACAATCTATCTTCTAGGGATGGGTAAATTCGATATTCGAATCGGCAAGCTTTGTTAGAATACGGCTGTCAATATAAATTTTTTTTTATATTTTTGTTATTTATTATATTTTATTTTATTTTTATATTTTTTTTTATATTTTTGGATTTTACTCTGATATTTTTTCAGAAAAAATGCCCCACTCCCCACCATCCCTACTATCTTCTCACTTTTTTTTTAATAAATCGTTAGATGGTATGAGCAGCTCGTGCTGCTCCAAATTCTTTCCTTTTGTGACACGTAAATTTTCGGTTGTTGGTAACTATTAAAAATAATTACGTGTGAAATAGTTCCATATGGATCGACTTAAAAAAAGTAGAGCATATCAATATTTAATTAGATTTTATCCTAATGGCGAAACAATTCACGCACCACTAAACATTAGCTCCTGTCATATCTACATATTCATTTATTTAGAATGATAGGCTACCAGCCTTTTGTAACGTTTTTGGTGATTTTCGGACAACCGCTGAACAAAAAACTGCTCCTCACTTGCTCGAAAAAAAGTGTGTCAAATATAATTACTGCCGAGTTAACGACACCGAATGAAAATACTTTACAAATATGCGTATGTATACAGTGGCGGTCGAAAGTTAATGAATGATATTTCATCTTTAATATTTACAATGTTTTTCAAGCTATCTAACATTTTTTTTCTGATTGTTTTTTATATTATATGGTTCATGCTTTAGCAAAAATCATACAAATCACACTTTCACACTTCATGCAGAATTTAGAAAAATTCCACAAATTTTTAATCTAAATTTCGAGCTTTTTAACCAGAATTTTTTTTTTTTTGTTATGCAGTTAACAGGTAAAAAAAAGTGCAAGCTTTAAGCGCCTAAAAATCTCAGTCATGTAAAGAATTATTAAAAACCAATGCGATTTTTTAGTCGCTCAATACTTGCACTTATTTTACCAAGATTTTTTAACTGCATACCCAAAAAAATAATAAAAATTCTGTTTAAAAAGCTCGACTCTAGGATACAAAATTGTGTAATTTTTCTAAATTCTGTATAAAAATTGAAAGTGTGACTTATATAGTCTTTGTTGCTTTAATCATATTTTTATAAAAAAATACCAAAAAAAAATTTTGCTGGAAAAACATTGTAAATATTAAAAACGAAACACCATTCATCCACTTTTGACCGCCACTGTATATTTATTTTAATATTTCTAATAGGCAAAGTGAGCTATTGATTTTTTAGTTATAGCAAATTAAAATAAACACAGTTACATATTTTCTAACTTAACGATTTGTATTTAAATAGTTTATTTTGGACACACTTGTGGCGACAAAATGCCTTGTATGCGTCATTAGTTTGATAAGTAGGACAAGCACAATGTATACAATTTTTTCGTGGGAAAATTTGATGTTTCTTATTAGGTTAATTATTCTGTCTTCATTACATTTACTACACATACTCGTAAGTGTTTTGAATTGACTCAAAGATAGTGGTATTAAGTGAGAGAAAAGAAGAAGTTTAGTTATACTGGATTTCCACTAGGCATTAAATGAGAACAATTTTTATGGCAAAGTAGGGCATTAATTAAAAAATATTCGTATCATTACGTAAAAAAAATTAGTCATTAAATTCATCTCCACGTGGCATTTTTTAAATTCCTCAAATTTTTTGTCATTTCAACGCCTAGTGGAAATTCGGCATTAGAATTTTACATCCATTTGAAAAAAAAACCAAATATTTCGCAGAGAAAAGCCGTTAAAAATATGGTTGCAGTGAGTCATTTGTTCAGAAAGCCCTAGATCGGAAAGCTACGAAGAACGTTGACGCAATAAATAGGAAGTAAAAAACTGTGTTAAATTTTTTTCTGGCGCACACCTTATGGTACGTACACACAAAAAGCGGCGCCGAGCCCAGCAAGCGAAGCTCTCAAATTGCCAGAACGGTATGAAAGTGTTCATATGGCACGCTATTCAGAAGCGTTTGGGAGCCGAAAGCACCGCCGTTTTTGATTTTTAACCGACTTCAAAAAAGGAGGAATTTTTTTTTTATGTACATGTGTTACCGCATAACTTCGGACGACCTCAACCGATTGGGAGATCTATCTGAATCATGAAGAAATTAACGGTACTCTTAAATTTTTATATGCGAATTAAAGTCGGTTGTGTTTTTTGCTTAAAAATTACTTGTTAATTTTTCGAAAAGTCTTTAAAGCAAAATAAACAAAAATTTTAGCCGAATTTTAGCAATGAAAATTGCCGGTAAGTTTGCCAATTTTTTGGTAGTTTATGAACTGGATACAATTTTTTGATCATTTAAAAACTTTATTTTCGGTCCCTGCATGCAAATTTGTATGTAGATCCGTCTTAGCCGACTAACATTTGGTGAGACCCAGGGTAGATACCTAGAAGTGATGGGCTTTGGAAATTTAAAACTGTGCTGCCTTCAGGCGAAAAAATGTGCCAATATGCAGAGGAAAGTCAAAGAAATCTTTATGCGTACATTTTTTTTTCCTCTTAAACTATACCAATCACTTTTGATTGCTATACATTTTTGAGCAAGCTGCGTCTTATTGCTTATGTTTGGAAAAAAAACTTATTTTTTTGTGGCAATCCATAACTTGGGTAAGCTGTCTTAGACTATTTGCTGCTAGGTTGGAATGAAAAATTAACACCTACATACATACGTACATATTTGGAGATTTTGGAAACCTTGAGGGAAATTAAAAAAAAGAAAACAATTGGTGCACTAAGGGAGTCCTATGTTAGGATAAAAGCTTTTTTTGCTGGTCAAATATCTTTTATTGAAAAAATCAACTGATTTCTAAAATTTTCCTGGTACTAATACATACACTGCCCTTGTGTGCTACAATAGCTTTACCATAAAAAAAAAACAAAATATGTATTTTAACCACGCTTACCTCCCATATAACGGTAGTTTGCAGAATTACGAAAACTTCGATATTTCGAAATTTAAGCATACTATCGATGATCTTTGAAATAGTAGTAAAACCATCCCTTCTTACCATGTAAGGGTAGTTTTCGGAAAGGTGAGAAAAAACTATATCTAATACGTGCGCCGGGTATTTAATGTTGGGCTTCACCCGAACTTAGACTTCTTTACTTGTTTTAATTACAATTCCAATTGTAAGTAAGCAAAGAAGAGTCACAGTGATGTTATGAGCCAAAGAGAGCCAAATGAGCTACTGGATGCGCACCAATGAGTTAAAATTAGGTGCGGGAAAGGCGCAATTGTGCTTACTGTTTTATCACTGATGCCTGTATGTCAGCATAACATTTTTCTAAAGGCGGTCGCCTCTAGTAAAGCAATGTCCAAATACATATGTATTATTTGGAGATTATTTTTTCCGATGCGCCTTTCCATTAAACATCATTTCTTATGCACTTACTATTTCAATAAATGTATTACATTTGAAAATACTTCGTTTCATATTTAATTAAAATTTTGGGTGCCCGATATTCCTTACGGGGCTGGCAGGGTGTATGAGTGACCATTTTATTTTCTGTGATTAGTTAAAATTAATAAAACATTTACTTATTTATGCCTTCATCCAGTCACAGCAGCTTTATGCCGTATGTATTTAAATATTTTTAAAAAGATTTCATCCTTATTATAGTCTCTTAGCAACTTACCTGCTCCACACTGTATATTTCCATATTGGGATCACTTTCAAGCCACTGGTGTTGCTGGCGATATGCAGCTTCGGTGCGTTTCTTTATGTTACGATGGCAACAATAACAAACAACGCATAGAATGGTGGTAACCACTGACAGCATGGCGCTGCAAGAAATGGTGAAAAACAAACATACAAACATACAAACATACAAATAAATTAATATGCGCTCAGTTATACATACATATACATACAAAAGAAATTTAGTTATTTTCGGCTAAATCAATTAAAGCAATGAATATTGAAGTGACCTCATTGATTTTGTCTACATACATAGCTATCGCATTCTACTCAAGAAGGCGTGTTAAAGTATACCTGTGTAATTAAGTTTGTAATGTAGCTTTTTTCATGCTATAAATAAAATCTGAATGGTTGTTAAAATAATGGTCATGCAATATTTTAAATGGTTTCATATTCATTTCTGTCGAAAAGTATTGCTTACTAAGTAATTATGCATTTCTATTTTGTTTAGTGAAATGAAATCAATACATTGAGAGCTGAGTGAATAAGTATCTGCGCGTGTTCGCGTGACTTTTACATATTTTACTTTCGGTCATTCGCAGTTTACGTGCATGGAATACGGAATTTATTTATTTATATGTTCGCACAGTTGTACAAATGTATGACAATTTTGTGAATAAAAGCTGAGTAGACAATTAATTGAAGGAACCTACACGCCTACATATCGTCATTCTGCAAAACCGCGTAACTGACATTTGCTGCCAAAAATTGGATTTGCACACACAAGCTCTTGGCTCAATTCTTATCCATTCGTCCTGAAATATACTAGCCAGAAATGCGATTGCTTTCTAAAAAAAAAAGAGAACGATTTTGAAATATGAGTGTTTTTACTCCCAAGAAAATATTTTCTACAACCTCACATACGCGGCTTTGCATTTTGTTGATACGCGGTTTTGTACTTTAAACGACGATATGTATGTTTGCATACCAGGGGGGTAAAAACTTCGGACGGAGACAAAATGATAGACTTATTAAATACTATAAATAAATATACAAAAAAAAGAGAGGGAAATACCGGTATTGTAGTCTAGAATCGACAATGCCTTACGATTACGCAAGTGTGTACATACATATGTACACATGTTTCTTACCGTATTGTGTAACCGTTAAGCGTTTTTATTGCCGCTTTTTGATTGCTTGCTTAGTACACCATTATTACGGCCATATCATTTTACAATGGGGCGATTAATGGACAAAGGTACAATATAGTTATATACAGCCCGCGACAAAAGATAGCACATCAACATTTTTGCCAGTTTTGCCCAGAGACCCGGAATAATAATTATTTTATGGTGGAGTCTTTTGATAATAATTATGTGTGAGAAATTTTTTTTTAAGTCATCGCTAACTATTATTTTAAGACTTATCTAATAAAAGTCTTTTTATAATAATTACCAGCGAGATAAATATTTTTAAGCCTTCAAAGACTTTTATTTTGAGACTTTTATAACAAAAGTCTTGTCATAATAATTATCGTTGAGATAAATATTTTTAAGCCTTCAAAGACTTTTAGGTTGAGACTTATGTATATTATAAAGTCTAATCATAATAATTATGAATGCGAAAAAATTTTTTAAGTCTCAAAAGATGGGGCTTCAGGACCATTTCGGCATTTATTCGGGACTAGTTGCGGGCCAGTTCGGGGCTAGTTGGGGACAAGTTCGAGAACAGTTTGGAACTTGTTGGGGAGTAGTTTGGGCCCAGTTAGGGACTAGTTTTGGACTTTTAAGGCTTAAAAAAAATTTTTCGCACTCATAATTATTATAGACTTTTATAATATAAGTCTTAAAACAATAGTTATCGATGACTTAAAAAACTTTTCTCACACATAATTATTATGAAAGGACTTTTATAATATAAGTCCTTGAACAATAATTATAGATGACTCGAAAAATATTTATCTTAATATAATAGTTATTGATTGACTTTTAGTCTTTTCTCTTATAATTGTCTCTGGTGTTGCCTACTTTTCTTTTGCTTGTTTTTTAAGGTTCATTAATTTTTTATTAAAGTTCAGCTCCTTATCTTACAAAAATCATATAAGTGCAAATTTCAAACTTTGTACAAAAATTTAAAAAATTGCACAAACTTTTCATCTCAATTTCAAGTATTTTAATTAGAATTTCTCAATTAATTTTTGGTATGTTATTAAAATCTAGTATAATAAAGTGACAGTTTGAATTTGCAAAAGCTTGCATTGATTTTTGGTAATTTTTTTCTGCACTTTTTTCCATATGAAAAATTACTTTGTATGGATATTGTACTAAACTTTAATAAGCGATAAATCTGCATACTAAAAATTATTCTAAAAATTAAAATGCTTGGAACTGGGATACAAAGTTTGGGGAGTTTTTATTATTTTTGTACATAGTCTGAAATTTGGATGTATATGGCATTTGTTATATAAATTTCATAAACATAAGAGAAATAGTCAAAACTGTTCAAAATATTGAGGTGCTATCGCTTTGTCGCGGGCTGTATGTACATCAATATTATGTATGTATAGAAGCAAATTTAATTGTGTTAATATTACATACGTATATATATATGTAACGGGTGATTTTTTAAGAGCTTGATACCTTTTTTTTAAAAAAAAACGCATAAAATTTGCAAAATCTCATCGGTTCTTTATTTGAAACGTTAGATTGGTCCATGACATTTACTTTTTGAAGATAATTTCATTTAAATGTTGACCGCGGCTGCGTCTTAGGTGGTCCATTCGGAAAGTCCAATTTTGGGCAACTTTTTCGAGCATTTCGGCCGGAATAGCCCGAATTTCTTCGGAAATGTTGTCTTCCAAAGCTGGAATAGTTGCTGGCTTATTTCTGTAGACTTTAGACTTGACGTAGCCCCACAAAAAAATAGTCTAAAGGCGTCAAATCGCATGATCTTGGTGGCCAACTTACCGGTCCATTTCTTGAGATGAATTGTTCTCCGAAGTTTTCCCTCAAAATGGCCATAGAATCGCGAGCTGTGTGGCATGTAGCGCCATCTTGTTGAAACCACATGTCAACCAAGTTCAGTTCTTCCATTTTTGGCAACAAAAAGTTTGTTAGCATCGAACGATAGCGATCGCCATTCACCGTAACGTTGCGTCCAACAGCATCTTTGAAAAAATACGGTCCAATGATTCCACCAGCGTACAAACCACACCAAACAGTGCATTTTTCGGGATGCATGGGCAGTTCTTGAACGGCTTCTGGTTGCTCTTCACTCCAAATGCGGCAATTTTGCTTATTTACGAAGCCATTCAACCAGAAATGAGCCTCATCGCTGAACAAAATTTGTCGATAAAAAAGCGGATTTTCTGCCAACTTTTCTAGGTAATAAAATTCAATGATTTGCAAGCGTTGCTCGTTAGTAAGTCTATTCATGATGAAATGTCAAAGCATACTGAGCATCTTTCTCTTTGACACCATGTCTGAAATCCCACGTGATCTGTCAAATACTAATGCATGAAAATCCTAACCTCAAAAAAATCACCCGTTATTTGTAATAAATCTTTTAAACATTATCTTAAGAAACGATAAGGAAACTCTTCTTTAGTATAGATAGGGGGAGGCAGTAAAATAAGTAAAAAAATAGGTTAAACGGTTTTGTTGAACGGAAAGATAATAATGATGTATATAATGTACTAACAGCTAAAAAATTATTAGGTAGGTCCTAATTATCAGTCTTCCCACCACTCTTCTTGCGAGTCTGAGGCATTGATCAGACTAAAAAATAAAGTCGTGGCTTTTGGTGCATTATCTACATCATTATTTTATTTCTTTTCAATAAATAATTTTTCTTTTGCTACAATTTTGTTCACACACACGAGTAACGGACATAACAACGGTCGACCCTCAATGTGCGAATAGCGGAATTGGAAGTGCATTAAGTTCATAATTGTGGTAAGTAATCCACAATCCCCCGAAATATCAGTTCAGGATGCAAGGACTACCATTTATCGAAATAAGTATTTAAAAACGTGAACTTCATGGGAAGCGTCAAAAAAGGTTAGCCATGATTATGTAAGACCAGAAACTTGCAATTTCAATTTAATATTTTATAAGTTGGTTAAGAAGTGTTTACGAAATAGGCGGTTGAATGAATAAGTTCATAGCGAAACTATATTTTTCCTCTCTCAGGAGTATAGGACAAAATGATGCTCATTAGCCTTGTCGACCTGTGGCTTCCGAAGTTTAACTTCACAAATAATTTCAAGATCTTAGTTTTGGAAAAAGAAAATAAAAATCGTTGGGAAGTAGTGCTGGAAAACAACACCGGAATTCTACCGCGTAAATGCCCTAGATTGCAACGAATTGACAGCACTGGCTCTTGTCTATAGTCAGCCAAAGCCGATTTTATACAAGGTGGTGTCGGTTGAGCAAAAACAGAAATCACGACAACAAACTATAAGCACAATGACGGCAAGAGGTACCACAAATATACAAAAAAAAACATATCATTTTGATATTCAGAAGGACTGCGGCGAATTCTAGCTACACCATCTTTTATAAATTCCACGGACCGTAACAGTTACAACTTTTATTAAAAAAAAAACTCGCTCTTTAACAATTATTTTTTGCCTTTTATTTAATTACTCCTTAAATAACCGCTATTTCTGACTTTTACTTTATAAATCCAAAATAACAATTATTTTTGATTTTATCTAAATAATCTGCAAATAACAGTTATTTTTGTTTTTTAAATTAGATGTCTTACATAACAGTTATCGAGGACTTTTATTTATAAAAGTCATAAATAAAAATCAGTCATTGACCTTCATATTTAAATCGTACTTATAAAAGTCATTTGTATAAGTCGTAGTAAACTTTTGTTTCCCAACACCTTATTTACTGCGAAAAATGTGAATGACATTTTTTACCAATGCTTAAAAAAATAAAAGTCGGTGATTGATTTATATTGATGACTTTTAACAGTAAAAGTCACTGAATGATTTTTATTGAAAAATCAAAAATAATTGTTATATAATGGATGAAGTACTATTAAAAGACCTAAGTCTTACCCTGTACTACTAGAAAAATAAATAAATAAATAAATAAATTTGGATTTATAATTTGAAAATCACAAATAATTGTTATTTTTTTTTAATTTGCATAAAAATTGCAAAAATAAATTTATTTTCAAATTTGAGTCTCGTGGAAAAAGAAATCGATTGGTATATATCACTTAGTTGTAGAACGTTTCCTTCAATGTGAATTTTTCCATGACAGTTTTCATCAATACTGTTATGTTCGGTCCCTGATAAATTCACCTTGAGTCAGCCGATTGCCAGAAGTCAAAACCATGATAACTAATATTTTTAAAATTTTACAAAATTGTCAGAAATTGTAAAAAAATTAGAAGCATTTAACTTAAGAAAATTGTTTACCGGTCAACTATAAGTGGAATGCACTTTGTGAAGATGAAAAATACTGCAAGCCTACGGCATATGATCTACCAAAGACTGTACGTATGTATGTGATTTTAGAAAAATAACTTACCCGCATAATAGTAAATTCGCATTTCCATTAATTGCATGTGGATATGTTTGATGACCGCCACCGATGCCTCCACCACTACCAATGCCACCTGAATTGTGACCGATGAGGCCACTTAGGCCAAAACTCGCGCGTATTGTTTGCAAGCCATTGCCGGGCGTATATGCATTAATTATATTCGTATATGTCTCGTTGCTGTCATCTTCACTGTTGTCATTGCTGTCATCGGCGTAACTATCGTCGTCGATAATTCGATGACTCTTAGTTACAGTTGCTAATGTTGTTGTTGCTGTGGTTGCTATAGCTGTTGTTGGTTGTGTTTGCTTAATGTCAATATTTGTTGTTGTTTCTTGCGCACTTATTGGTGCTGCAATATTTGAAATATTTTGCTTGTTATGCTTCAGCGTTAACGGCGCAATTATTGCCAACCGTCTTAAGGACATCATTGCAGTTATTTGCTATTGCGCTTCGCTGATTTCTAGAAAAATGCTTATGCACCTAATGAACCTACATATGTAGCAATAAAACAAATCTATAAGTAAAAAAATCCTTTTCCGCAAGGAGGAATTGTAGCAGGTAGAAAGCCTTTTCCAAATGTCTTAATTTTTTAGGAGACAAATTTTGTTTCCGAAATCGAAACTCTATTTTTTGATTCCGAAATCGAAGCTCTGTTTTTGGATTACTTAATATGCTGCATGCACGTATTCTGACGTAAAAATCCAGATTGGACAAGCCCAAAATATTGTAGAAATGTATAGATATTACTCATCCGGGCCTGTTGGTTTTCATTTATAATATAGCTTTGAGGAAAAGGTACTTTCGTCATTGTTCATGGTTTTCAATTTAGATTTTTTTTTTATAGGAAATTCAAGTCCTAGCGCATTGAAACCATTTCAAACCACCTTTTTATCACAAAGAAGTCTGCATAGACCGAAATAAGAAGAAGTGGTCGGACTGGACACGTTTCATGTCATAGAGTAGATGCATTAAAACTTCATAGCCGAGGTCTCTAAACTTTTTCCGAGTGAATTAAATGGCATATTAATTCCGGCTGTTTTTTTTAAATATTTTTGTGTTGTTTTTTTTATAAAAATATTGTCCAAAATTTATCCAAGCCACATAAATCACAGTTCAATCTTTATACAAAATTCAAACTTTTAAATCGGAATTTTTCGAACACCTTTGTGTATGCAACATACAATTTTAGTCTGTTGACTCCAGTTCAAACCGTTTAAAAAATTGCGTTCTTTTTTAATATTTTTTTGCCGACGGATTTTTGCTCGTTTTTAATTGGTTTTGTTAAAGCTAGGACAGTATTTATAAATATAGAAAAAAACGCAAAATATTCTGAATATTTAATAAAAATCAACACGTGAACACTGATTTGAGTCACTGTACATGTAGGTGACTAAATCTGCGTTTGTTATTAAGACTGTTACCGGTTTTCCTTTTGCGCAGAAAGAAGCAGGAGGACAACGTGGCGTATGAGTAATATGCATCGGACACCTTGAATATTTTGATGAACTTGGACATTATCGCAACATGTCTTGCTTGAGGTGCTTTTCGAGAGTTGTAAATAAATGGCAAAAGGCCATTAAATACACACATACATATGTATGTATGTGTGTAGGCACATTAGGATGGTCCAAAAATTCATGTGAAAAAGTATAGTCCAAATTTTAATGCTCTCACCTCTTAGGATTATTTTATATCGAGAAAATATACTCCTGTTTTTATTTTATTTTGGAATTAAAATATATATCTAGAGATCGCGCAAATGGAGTTTGGAAAAAAAAACAATTTTTCTTAGGAATGGTATAGAATTCTTAAACATCAATCGCAAAACTCTGTTTCTCTTCAGGAGACTTCCAATTACAATATCCAATTTTTTATTTTACAATTTTTTAATACTAATTTTTTTTGTGGATTCTACCATTGCATTTTTTCAGGCTTTTTGGGGACCTATAAAAAAAAGTTAATACATGTTAACAAAATAGTTAAATAACAATTGGGTATTATTATTGGAAGTCTCCTGAGGAGAAATAGAGTCTTGCAATAAAAAATTTTTGGTTTTTAAGAATTCTATACCATTTCTACAAAAAATAGTTTTTTTCCTATATACATATATGTAATACAAAAAAATGTAAGATATATTTTATTTGACTACATATCTAGAACAATCCTAGGGAATGAAATCATTAAAATTCCAGCATTACTTTTTTTTTAAAACCCTAATGTATTTATGTTTTGATTTTCATGCCGAAAGCAAGCTGACGTACTGAATATACATATTAAGAAATAAAAATAGGTAGTTCGGTATTTTAGAAAGTGATGCATTTTGAACTGTTCTTGCTTCTGCATCAAAATCAATTTTTTCTAGATAAAGTGGACTTAAAACATCAGCTTTGTTTTTGTCAGCGTTGCAAGCTACCAATTTTAATACGAATTTTGCAATTTTGGTTTTCCACTGAGTTCCAAGATATTTTTATTTAACACCTAAAACTTGTAAGTTAGTCATAAAGCCTGAAATCCCTAAAAACTTAAATAATTTTAAGTGCTTTTAACTTCGACTTAAATGCTTCTTACACAAATCCTATCATTAGTTCTTTAGCGATTATAAAACCCATTTAGGTTATTAAATCACACACATACAAAAGTCGTTGTCATCGATTAGTTCACTGATTTACAACACACACACACACATACGCGTATAGCCAGCTTTTTACTTTTAGCCTTCATTAGAAATGTAGATGATTTCATTTGTATAAGTTTTGTTTTAAACTATGCATTCTTTTATTTCAAAAATGTTCGTTACACGTTTTGTTTATATAAATCAATTCAATAGTTTTTTTTTTAAATCACTTTTTTCTCTTTTTTTAATAACAATAGTTGTTTTTTCTTAAATGTACAGGATTTTCACGATTTTCTTCGTTCGCTTCATTCGTCCATCGCGACTGTACAGCTCGCTCACATTTACCAAACTAACTAGTTGGACAGGATAAAGAGAGCATGCTAGCAAAGTTTAGTCTAGTCTAGTCTAGCTCGATTGACTGTCACCTACGAAGCGGACAAACACATGCACACTGGTGCTATATTTGAGTCGTGCATTGGTTGATTGTAGTGGTCGGAGGACTACTCCTGCCACCTTCAGAGTGTCCTCCAACGCTTAGTGGGGTTAAATATCGGTGCTATTCGTCTCCCTCCCAGTGCGCCAGTTTCAATAACAGTATTGCATTACAAATGATAATCCACCTAGGTTATAGATGTACGTGGTACATATGTATGTATTTATTTACAGTTAACTGAAATGTTTTGTCTCTTTTTGAAAAACGTTTAGATTATGTTTAGTAAATGTAAACATACCTACCATCATTTTGGTTATATAAAAGCGTCAGTTACTTGTTCGTTGACAGAGTTGCAGTTTCATTTTCCATGCATTTTTTACGTTTTGAAGCAGCGAGGGGAATTATGTTTCAATGGGCCGTATGAATAAAAATTAAGCAATTGCTTCTTCTTAAAATTTCGTACGTTTTACTTCAGTTTTGTTTGATTAAATCGAGTAAAAGGTCTGAAATTAAAAAAAAAAGCGATTGCTTATTTTTGTTCATACCACTCAATATCTTGTAAGTGAGTTCAATACGTTGTGGAAAATAACGATAGAACTTCTATTAAAATTAAAAATATGGGTTTTTTTGTTACCAAGAAATAGACATGGATGTTTTTTAAAGTAATTTTGTACAGTTTTGGAATTTTTTTATTTTTTTATTTTTTTTTCTATTTATTTTTTTACGCCGTATGGCCCATAACTCAAAAACCCTTTCTGCTCCTATTTGCGAGGAATTCCGTCAATAGCATTTTGAATTGACTGATGCTTTCAGTTGGCACCCTAATGTACATACATACATATGTTACAGCATAACTTTGGGCCACGTTAACCGATTTCTATAATTCTTTTTTTTTTTGTTTTAAAGAAAGGTGGTACCTCAGAGTTTTACATCCGGTCATTGGATCATGAAAAAATTAACCGCACACTTAAATTTGTATATGTATGTATGAGTCAAGTTTTCTCAAGTGGGCCACCCAAAGTTGACTTTTCGATTTTTTATATTTCATTGACCGATGTTGAAAGTTAACATTTATTTAGTAATTTTATTTTTTTGGTGAGTTATTTGCAAACAAACTTTTATGCAGGCTTTTACACTTTTTGAAATATTTCAGCAACCATACATTCGAATCTTATGATTTTTTTGACAGCAATTGGAGAACTTATTGGGCAACAAAACAAAGCGGTCAGTTCGTAGCAATTCGATTCTTATTTTATAAAAAAAAATTATCTATTTAATCAATTGAATTTTTTTACCAACTTCTCATATACCTAGGAGAAGAATTCAAAAAACATTATTTGCGCTAAGCATTCAATTTCACTTAAAAAAAAAAAAAATAACTGTACTGTTGATTGACTTAAAGCTTTTTACTAAAAAAAATTAACCAAGTTTAAAAAAATATAATACAAAGGAACTGAAAAGCAAAAAAATAAGATTTCAAAACTTAAGTATCAAATCAAGAATTATCAAACTAAAAAGATGGCAAGTTTCTAAAAAAAATTATTATTTTTTTTTCAGAATTCGCATAGATTTTTTGTTTTAATTTTTTAGAGACTTTCATGAAGTTTTTGCCTGTGAGCCCTAGTAAAATTTTCGGTAGAATCATTTTCTAGAATATATTAATCCTCTAACGACCTCCCATTTATTTTGGAATAAGAAAATAATAAAATCATCTATCACTCAGAGGCGTAAAAAAGTGATTTTATTTAGTTAGAGTTCCCCACCAAAAAGGCGTACTCAGAATAAAGATCAGAATTTGGCTTTCTCGCTGCATGTAATCTCTGATTCGATCGCCTATATTTTAAACAATGCACTGTTTGTATTTACTTCGATATTTTGTATACATACATGCATATATGTAGTTTTTTAAATAATATTTTTGTTCACTTTTCTTGCTACAAAGTCTCAGCGTTCAAAATTACTGTATATTTTCGCGCCAAATTTTTCCCACTGTATTGCTACGTAATATTTGCACGCATCGCCGCCGCAACAAAAGTACGCTCCTAGGCAACGTTTAGCGTCTTCACCAACTACGAGTTCAACTTAACACTTAGCCGCCATTTAAGCAACTAAACTGTGCCGACCATCAACAATATTGTTTCGAACGATCCGCACTTTTCGACAGTTGAAAGACAAAAACATTCCATCAGCGCGCAGCGCACTGTAGCCAAACACGCAAATACGCACATATGTACATACAAATGCACAGAAGAAATAGCAAACCAAGTTACCCCAACTAGAGTGAAATATCCTCGGTATGTTCATATGTTTGTGCATAAGTTAAATGCATAGGCAGCCATTTCCTGCCCTTTTCCTGGCGTCACCCAACGACCTTCCCAGTAGTTCGCTCATTCGCAAAGGACACGCAACTCTTGCCGATAACAATCGGCTGTACGG